CTCCTAAACTCGTTCTATGAGGCCAGCGTTAGCCTGATACCAAAACCAGACAAAGATGCAACAAAAAAAGAAAAGTACAGGCCAATATCTGTGATGAACATGAATGAAAAAATCAGGAAAGGTCTGAGGGAAGGCATCTGTGGGGTTCAGAAACAAGGAGAAAGAGGCTTGGGGCCAAGAGCAATAGGAAGAAAGGGGTGATGGTTGGAGGGGCAGGGTCTATCATGCAGTGGGGGGGTGGAAGGGGGTGCGGGCTGCAGGAGCCTCTCATCCCATGAAGGGCCTCATAATTGTTCTTAAACATTGTCTCTAAATTGGATTATCTGGACAACCGCAGCCCTGCGTTGACAGAAATGTTTATCCTACATATTTATACATGTTTCATTCCTACCAAACCACCAGTACATTAAAATTTTAACCCAACACTTTTTAAATATCCCAATTAATTGTACTTTATTGCTATCCATGTATCAAAAAGTTGATCTGTGAATCTCACATATTTAAAACCTTCCACAATTTTTGTAATACTATTTTGGCATCTCTCTGCCTTTTTTTTTTTTTTTTTTTTTTTGAGATGCTGAGTGCTTCAAGAAACAGAAGAGGCCCGGGCCTCTCTGGACCTTGGAGAGACCCTGGAAGCCAACTAGAGATAAAGCAGATACTGCTAACACCAGCCCAAGGAAAGGCATTAACATTTGTCTTTAACTTTATCTTTGCTTAATCATTTTTTCCCTTGCAAAAGAGAAAAAGACTCAATTCCCTCATCAGATGGCTCCAATGCCATCTAATGCCAGATTGTTGACTGTGTACTCTTAGTTTCTCTACAGTAGCCTCTTGAAACACAAATATTTCACCAACTGAGAGGAGGGCCACGCTGGCAAGGGTTTGGGTCTTCCTGGGTTGGGTCCCTACGTGGATCTTTCTGAGTCAGGTCCTCACGCGCAGGCTCAAGAGTAGAAGGACAGTAGAAATTCCCACAGGGTCAGAAATCCCTGTTACTCAAACCAAAAGCCGAACACGACTTCCCAAATTACTGTTGTCTTTGCACTGTCCGTCTGTTAGATCTTTCAGCCTGTCAGCATGGCCAGGAGGTAGAAAGAATAGCTTTCAGTTGTGAAATGTTTCCTGAAAAGGAAAATGCACGGGGGAAGTGAGAGAAGGGAGAGAGAGTGGAAGGCCCGGAAGAGTTGGGAAACAGTGGCTCCCTGGTGACTTTCTCAACTTGGGTTATCATGGCCACCTCTGCCGAACAAACCCCCTCTCTCTGTTTCCCGGTCTGAGGAGCATGCTTCTCCCTTGGGCTGTCTCTCGGCCACTCCCTCCCCTTCAGTGCCAGGTAGGGTGGAAAGATCCTTGGGCATTAGAGCCATAGATATCCTGACACCCTCACTCCCATGTTTTGGTCACTTTGTTTACTGTCTCTGAGCTGTTGGGGAGGTACTTGGGAGGAGAAGAGATTAATATATGTAAACCCTTTGCTATGTGAAGAAAAGATCGATAAACAATAACCATACAAAGTCAAGACTTTCAGAGGAACAATTTCATGTTTGGTTTTGGGTTTTAAAATTCTTTTATTGCGGGCCAGCCCATGGCTCACTCGGGAGAGTGTGGTGCTGATAACACCTAGGCCCCGGGTTCGGATCCTATATAGGGATGGCCGGTTCGCTCACTGGCTGAGCGTGGTGCTGACAACACCAAGTCAAGGGTTAAGATCCCCTTACCGGTCATCTTAAAAAAAAAAAAAATTCTTTTATTGCAATATAACATATAAACAGTAAATTATATAAATCCTAGAGGTACAACTCAGTGAAGTTTGAGAAAGTGAATATCCTTGGGTAGCCATGCCCTTGTAGAGTCAGTCCCCTTCCACACTGTATTAGGGTGGGTCTGTGTGATCCACAAATGTGGTAGATGCACTGGGATGTGACTTCTAAGGTTACATCATAGAAGATATGGCTTGGATCACTTGCTCTAGGAAAAGCTAGTTGCCATGTCACAAAGACACACAAGCAAGGTACTGAGGCCTCCAGCCAACAGCCCTGTGAGGGCCCCATCTCGGAAGCAGATCCTCGGCCTTCAGATGACTAAAGCTCTGGCCAAAGTTTTAACTAGAACTTCATGAGTCAGAACCACCCAGCTAAGCAACTCCCAGATTTGTGACTCTCAAAGACCATGAGATAATAAACATTTATTGTTGTCAGCCACTAAGCTTTGGAGAAATTGGTTATGCAGTGGTAGACATCTAAGGTAGCTGGAGCACACTTGCCTAGGCCAGACTCTGCAGCCACATCCAATTTTTATTCATTTGCTCATTTCAGCAAATATTTATTACATGCCAACCACTTGTCACCACACATTGTGGCTGGACACTGGGGCATTCCGTGGTGAACAGAGCAGACCCAGATGCTGCCGTGATGTAAGCTTTTCTTAGTGGGGGAGATGGAAAGAAACCACAAAAAGAAAACGTAGGAACTAGCAGGGATCCATGATGGAGACAAGCAGGGGTGACCCCTGGGGAGGGGGATCAGGGAGGCCCTTCTGAGGAGGGGACATCTGAGGTGAAACCTAAAGGATAAGAAGGGGCCAGAGGTGAGGACATCTGGGGGAAGGGATTCAGGGAGAGGGAACAGCAGGGGCTAAGGCCCTGAGGAGGGATGAACACGGTGGCTGGAACACAAGGACCACATGGTGATAGCACAACAGGGTGACACTGGAGAACCAACCAGTGGCCAGGTCCACTTGGAGAGTGGGTTTTATTTGAAGGATGGGGGAAAGAGGTGACACTGACTATAACAGAGGTATGTTAAAATTCTCTCGTGCTGCATTGTGGAGAAGAGAGAGAGAAGGTGGCGAGGGGGATTGGAAGGGAGGAGGGATGTCACCATGGTGTTGAGAGGAGAGAGGACTATTGTAATGTCAGGGGAAAGGGGCAGATTGGAGAGCTGTAGATAAGGACTCATGGAGCGAGTGAGAGCAGAGCCGGGATTAAGGGTTTGGGCTGCAGGACCCTTGGGGATGTTATTGCATTTGATCTGAAAAGACAGCGTGGAAGAACAGACCTGGGGGGTGGAAGGGATGTGAAAATCCATAGACCAGTTTGTGCATGGCAAAGTTGAGAAAATGTGGCACACCCGGGAGAGATGGTCAGGGGACCCTGCACCTACTCTGCCTCTTTGCTTTTTCCAGGGTAAACTGACCCTAAAGCCATCATGCCAGGAGACTGAGCCACTCTGAGTGTGGACAGACCCTTATCTCTACCTCCTGGGAAGGTCTGTCCCCCATCTCTGGTCCGTGAAGAGGCCCCTAGATATCGCTGTGGGTCCAGGAGAGATGCCAGCAGCCAGAGCTCTAGGCCAATCTGCCCTCTAAGTCATACCGCCCTCTCTGTGTACCTTTGGGTGTGGGGAAAGGCACTGTCTCAGCCCCACATGACGCCCAACTTCCCACTTCAGCGTCTTCATGTCTCAGAAGGCTCTTCCTCCTTCTTTTTCTCTTTTCCCTTTCTCGGTGAGGAGTGGCGTTTGCAAGAGGATGAGACTGGAAAGTGAGGGTCTCAGAGGGTTGGTGACAGCTGCTCCAGGTCGGGGTCTGCGGGGTGGCGGAATAAGAGGAGAGAAGCAGAAGTCTGCGGGGTTTGCACCCTGATTGGGGACTCAGCACCAAGATGCAACACCGTGGACGGTGTCTGGGGTCACGGTGCCTATGTGTGGGGCCAGAAGAAGAGCTTGGGGCCTCAGGGGGGCGGAGCTCTCTGTGGGTGCCTGAGTCCCACATGGTTACCACCAAGCTAGAGAGGATGGACGAGTCTGGCCTCCATTGCCGGATTAGTCATCTGATGACAGGAAGTGACATATCACAGAGGGAGGGGACGCCCCATCAAGAGGAAATGCCCAGTGTGGCTCTGCTGTGCGGGGGTGTATGAGAGACAGTGAGATCAGCTGCGGGCTGTGAGGAGGGGCTGCATCCTCAGCTGATGGAGTTTGGATGTGTTGTCCCCTCCAAATCTCGTGTGGAAATTTGATCCCCCATGTGGCAGTGTTGGAAACTGATTGAGTGATGGGGGCGGATCCCTCATGAATGGACTAATGCTCTCCCTGGGGGAGGGGGGATTCATGAGTGAGTTCTCGCTTGATTAGTTCCCGAGAGAGCTCGTTGCTTAAAAAGATCCTGGCACCTTCTTTCTCTCTCTTGCTTCCTCTCTCGCCATGCGATCTGCTTGTACCCGCCAGCTGCCTGCCACTTTCCGCCATGAGTAGAAGCAGCCTGAGGCCCATGCCAGATGCAGCTGTCCCAGAATCGTAAGCCAAATAAACCTTTTCTCTTTATAAATTACCCAGTCCCAGGTATTTCTGTTACAGCAACACAAAAAGGACTAAAACACCATCACACATTTCTTATTAATTACAAAGGGAAAGTGTACCTTTATAATGGAGAAGTATGGTATGAACTTTTCTGTATGTTTGACAATTAACACTTAGCCAAGTGATCAAACATAATGTCATTAATAATGAGACATGCTGACATTATGTGCTCCTGATGTGAGGCAATTTGAAGTTTACACCACTATGAATTATTCTTGTCAGAAATGTTTAACCTAGGGCCGGCCCGGTGGCGCACTGGGTAGTGCGCCGCTTGGGAAGCGTGGTGGCGCTCCCGCCCGAGGGTTCGGATCCCACATACGGACCGGCTCCCGCTCACTGGCTGAGCGAGGCGCGGGAGCAACGCCCAAGGGACCTGGGACATGCCCGGTCATCAGGACTGAGAGGTGCTAACTGGACTGCGTCCTGGGGGTGTCTGCGCCAGTGCAGGTGGCTTCTGTCCCTGAGCTTCCTGCACCCTGGCCAGCTCCAGCATTGGACCCGGGACAGGACTGGACGAAGAAACAGAGGAGGGCAGAAAAGCAGAAATGGTGACAAGGACATTGGACCCTCAGTGAGGAGGCTCCACTTTGTCTTCTCCTGGAATCTGGCATGGCTGCAGGTGACATCAACATTGGAGAAATGACTGCGAGGGACAGGGCCGCATGGCCGCCTTCAGTTCTGCTCCTCCTGCGTATCCCAGGTGAGGTGGGCTAGCCCTGGACAAGGGAAGCTCTGTCCTGAGTGGGAGAGAGGCAGGGGCAGGACAGAAGTTGGCTAAGGTGTGGCTCATAGAGAGAACTGGGGACATGGAGAGAGGGTAGGAGGACAGAGACCCGGGAGCCATCAGCACCTTCCTCACCAGGTGACTGCCAGACTTCAGTGCACAGTGCAGGTAAGTCCAGTCTGACTGTGCCCGGCACAGAGAAAGCCTGGGTGAGAGGGGACCTGTGACTGTCATTGCCATAGTTATACAATCTGAAACACCATCTTGGTCTATCTCACACACAGGTGTGCAAACAGGGGGGCACATACATGCAAAAACACACACACACAGCATTTTCCCATACTGGGCCCTTCCTGTATGCATGGGCACCCCTCTCCCCAGGCCCACCTCTGGGAAGAGGGAGCTGCTCACCCCTCAGTCCCGAGTCCTGGTCAGAGCGAGGCCTGTCTCCCTGCGCTGCCTCCTGCAGGCCCTGAGGGACCTTGAGGACCTGACCCAGGGTGCCCCCACCCCAGGCCCGTCTGGTGAGGACCCAGGATGGGGCTTGCGTTTTCCAGGTTGTTTTTCTCTGAGCGGCCCCAGCACCATGAACAGCACCGTGGGGGGATCCCTGAGCGTGCAGTGTCGGTATGAGGAGGAATACAGGACTTTGAACAAACTCTGGTGCAGAAAACCACTTATTTTACTATGTGACAAGATTGTGGAGACCAAAAAGCCAGAGAGAGAAGTGAGGAGTGGCCGAGTGTCCATCAGGGACCATCCTGCAAAACTCACCTTCACAGTGACCGTGAGAAACCTCACGGTGGAGGACACGGGCACATACTGGTGTGGGGTAGAAACACCGTGGCTCGATGGAAAGAGAGATCCCGTCTTCCAGGTTGAGGTGTCCGTATTCCCAGGTGAGTCCCACTCGCACCAGCACCTGGGCTGCCTGAGCTGGTGCTGGTCATTCCATCGTGGAAGAAGGATGTGTGCGTGTGGGTGTGAGTGTGCATGGGGGCACGGTATACAGGGCACAGTGGCACCTGTGTTGTTTGAGATCCCTCTGTGTGCCCACCCTGACTGTAGTGGATTGAATTATGTCCCCCCAAAACTCACTGAAGCTTGAACTGTGTTCCCCAAGTTTTATGTATTAGAAACTTGGCCCCAATTGACTGTTAAGAGGGTGGGAAATCCTATTATGATAATTGTAAGGTGGAGCCTTGAAGATGTGATTGGATTGTAGGACCGTGCAGTAGTGAGTGGATTAAAAATGGTGGTCAGGGGCGTGGTTCTGAGGGCTTTAAAAGAAGAGGAGAGTCTGTCTGTCTCTCTCTCTGCTCTCTCTGCTTCCACCATCTTGCCATGTGAGACCCCTGGGTCACGTTCGCCACCACCAGATGGACTTTGGACTTCCCAGCCTCAGAAACTGTAAGCAATAAATTTCATTTTTCTTTATAAATTACCTAGTTCCGTGTATTCTGTTATTGTAACAAAAAAACGGACTAATACACTGACCATCTCAGGCCTGAACCTTCCTAGGGTGGGGGTGGGACCGGCCCTGAGTGGGGATCTTTGCTGCCTTCCTGGGCTGACAAGGGCTGTGTCCTCTCTGAAGGAGACCTGTGTCTCTCCTGGATCTATCTGCATCTTCCCTATGGGGAATGGGACCTCTAGGGCACCTGCTCCCCTAACTCAAAGGGTGCCAGGACCCTGGGGCTCTGAGAGGACATCGCCCTGTCGTGGAAGGTCCCTGAAGCACTAGCCTCACAGCTGTTGTCCTGGGGACTTCTGCAGTGGTCACGAGAGGGACACCAGGAGGAGCCCAGACCCCTGTGAGGGGCTTCCCTGCTCTGGGGCACCCCGCCCGGCCCCTGCAGACTGACCTGCCTCCCCCTCTTCCTCTGGCACTTTCACCACAGGAGGAAACCCACAGAAACCCTGAAACTGCCGCCCGCAGGCAGTGGGACAAGCAGGCTAGAAACGGGCTCTCGGACTGTTATGGACCCAAAGGTCCTCCCTGTATTGCAAATAATTCTTCCTTAATAGGAGCTTGTCTTGTTTCATGAGAACTAAAATCCAGCCAGTGTTGCTGGTGTGTGAAGGAAAGGCCTTTGTCCAGGTGGCTTTACAACAGGCCACGTGCCATGGGGTCTGGCAGGCGTCTGTCTCTCTAGATCCGGTCATTCCCTCCCCCAGACAGGATTGTTCAGTGGCCTGTTTGGGGCCACAAGCCTGGCTGACAGTTTGGGGGCTGAGAGGATGGGTGGGTTCGGGGTCCCATGATTCGGTGCAGACCCCGCCGACTGTCCCTGTTCTCACGTGAAACCTCACTCTAGCCATCAGCCCTGCCCCAGGGCCTGGCTCCCCAGTCACTCTAGATCAGTCTCTGTAGAGTGACATTACCCATCCCTCCCTGGCAGGGTGGACAAAAGGTGTCTATGGCTTGGGTGGGACCTGGAATCATGTGCTCTTTCCACAGACTCTTGTATCCCCCTGGTTAGCAGGGCAAATCTCATACCTGAAAGAGTCTGCCTGGTCACAGAACACCTGGAGATGGGGCCAGGGAGGGTGGCCCAGGGACCTGGCCACTCTTGGGTGTGACCATGGGCATGTGGGACTCAGGACGTCTGTTTAGCATGCTCTGAGTGACATTGTCTGTGGGAGTCTGAGCTACACAAGTGACGGGGAGTGGGAGACCCAGGTGTGGTCCCCAGGCCTGACCTGTGCTTCTCCCTCAGCCCCAGTCACAGCCTCCAGCCCTGGAAGCTCCGCAAGCACCTCAGGTCCTGCCACGTCTCTGCCTGTGAGCACCTGGGACAGCTCAGCCCATCTCGATCCCAGCCCACACCCCCGGTATGCGGCCTGCGTCTGGGACTCTGCCACCCTGAAGGGTTCTCTTCTAGGCAGGAAGGGGGTGAGGGGTGTGGAGTGTGCCTCCCTCCTCCTGTCCCCTCCTTTATTCATTGATCCCATACCTAATGGGAAGGTTCTACTAAGTGCCAGGCGCTCCTCTCAGGACTGGGACATAGCAGTGAGCCACGCAGACACTGTCCTGCTCTGATGGAATTTGTCTTCTATTGGTGGATTCATGCAGTGAACAAGTCAACACATGAGTTTATATATAAATATGGCAAGTTGTGATAAATGCTAGTAAAAAATATTTGCCACTTGGGTTGGGGGAGAGTGTGTGCTGGAGGGCGGTGGGCTGGCTATTTACACACAATGATCAGGGAGACCTCACTGAGTAGAGGATGTGTAGTGGGGACCTGCAGGACTGGGCGGAGGGGCAGGTCCTGGGCTCTGGGAAAGGGTGTTCCAGGCAGAGGGAGGAGAGAGTGCAGATGTCCTGCAGACGAGCCTTCAGCCCCACCCAGGCAAGGGCAGGGAGCAGATGCTCTCGGGGTCTGGTGGCCCTGGCATTCTCCTCTGCTTCCCTCCCCAGCCCTGGTCTCAAGTGTCACCCCATTTTGAAGAACCCATTCCTCCAAGGCAGGACCTGAGCTGGGTCATTCATTCATTCCATCATAACCACTCAATTTTACAGGAAGATGTTGAGCAGGCACAGGGCACGCACCAGTTACTCGCTGTGAACCAGACAAAGCCAGCCCCTGCCCTCAGGGAAATACTGACAATAAATGCATAACCACAGTATAGATTCCTGTATCCCAGAAGGAGTACCCCTAAATGCAGAGGGTCTAGATCGAAATCCTTCTGGATGCAGATCCTGCCAAGATCCCTGGGTGTCCCCTCACATCAACTCATGGCTGTGCCCTTCCTATGGCCACAGTTCTAAGACTCAAGGGCAATTCTCGAAATCCTTCTGGATGCAGATCCTGCCAAGATCCCTGGGTGTCCCTTCACATCAACTCATGGCTGTGCCCTTCCTATGGCCACAGTTCTAAGACTCAAGGGCAATTCTTAAGATGACAGTTAATGGGCAGTGGTCCTTCATATAGGGCTGCCCTGTCCAGGGTTGGTCCTCATGTGCATTGTTGGGGCCACAGGACCTGGGCATAAGGGACAGGGGGAAAGTGGAGGGTACCAGGACCTCCCCGTGAGGAGGCAGCTCAATGTCACTCTGTCTACCCCCACAGGTCGGCGTCCGCTTCATGTTCCTGATCTTCCTGGAGGTGCCCCTGCTCCTGAGCATGCTCGGGGCTGTCCTCTGGGTGAACAGGCCTCAGAGACGCTCTAAGGGGAGCCAGAGTCAGATGGGCTGTGAGAACCAGTAGCCCCGATGCCCATCGACGGCCAAGCGACGCAGCCCCACTGGTGTGTGGGAATGGCCTTCTGTCCACTCAGCCCTTGTTTGTATCAGAATACTATGTAAACTCTTCTGGAGACTTTTCCCTGCGATGTATCACACATACAAAAGAATGTACCTACTAAATGCATACAAATTAAACCGAGAATACTCTTCAACACTTGTGTGACCACCTTCCCGCCGAAGTATTAATATATATGAAATGCCAAAGGTGGTCTTGATCAGATGTGCCTTCTTTTTCTATTCTCCTCGGAGGGACCCACATTCTGAATGTTATATTCATCATCTCCTTGTTTTAAGGGTTTTGTCATATATCTGCCTATGTATTTCCAAAGACTAATTGTTTAGCTTTGCATATTTTTGAACTTTATATGAGCAGAATTATGTAATTTATTTTTATTAATATCATTTTAAATTTCTTTCTTTTTTAATTAATGTATGTATTTTTTACATTCTATGATGTNATTAAACCGAGAATACTCTTCAACACTTGTGTGACCACCTTCCCGCCGAAGTATTAATATAAATGAAATGCCAAAGGTGGTCTTGATCATATGTGCCTTCTTTTTCTATTCTCCTCGGAGGGACCCACATTCTGAATGTTATATTCACCATCCCCTTGTTTTAAGGGTTTTGTCATATATCTGCCTATGTATTTCCAAAGACTAATTGTTTAGCTTTGCATATTTTTGAACTTTATATGAGCAGAATTATGTAATTTATTTTTATTAATATCACTTTAAATTTCTTTTTTAATTAATGTATGTATTTTTTACATTCTATGATGTTGCAGAGTTGGGAGGGAGGGGGAGAGGGGAAAGGGGGAGGAAATGGGATGGAAGAAGGAGGAAGGATGAGGGACGGGGTTGAAGCCTGTGGACCCCCCTCGTTCCCACAGGGGAGACCAGGGGGCTTCCAGCGGCGGCTTGGTCATTGCTGAGCTGGGTGCAGATGTCAGAAGGGTGTGGCAGAAAATGGTTGACTTTATAGGAACTTCCAGGTCTGGTGAGAGCTGGTGCAGCTGGGTTGTGCAGAAACTCTGGTCTTGGCCTCAGTCTTTTCAGCAAACTGCACCCCCTGCAGTTCTATATTCCTGACCAGCCTCCACTGAGTGGTCCTGCGCTGATTGGGGGGCAGATCAGCTGTCCTTGCTCTGTCCCGGTGTTCTTCTGGGACAGCTCCCCTACCACCCATGCTCCAAACACTCCTCATGGGACAGGTTGTGCACCAGTCCCTTGCAATGACTCACTGACCTCTGAGAGGCTCCTTTTTTTCAGTTGTTGTGGCCCCTTGCTCCAATGTGGGTCCACAGGAACACTGTTAGTGGTCTTGCCGGCCTGCGGGCCACCAAGGCCCTCTTCTCCCCTGCGACCTCCAAGCAACCTCATCCGAAGGGCACAGCTGTGGCTTTTGCCAGCTCCTGCTCTGTGTGCTCAGCAGCTCTAGCCCAGAAACTGCTGGGATTCAAAACAGTTGGAGCAGTCTTTTCTTTCTCTCACTGTGGCTTCTCCTGCCTTCATGCACTAGTAGGTCTCTCCTCCTCTTCCCCTGAGCTCTAGCAGCCCCAGCTTGGCTATAGTTGCTTTTTTATACTTTTAAATTGGTTGATTTGTGGGACAGAGTGATGCTGCGGACCCACTTTAAATTTCTAAGTAATGTGATTTTTGTCGTTCAATATATTTTTATTTTAATTTTTATTACATTTTTAAGTAATTGCATGTTTGTAGATAAACAATTGATCTTTGTATATTCATTATATATATGCTAAATATTTAGCAATCCTATTTAAATCTTAGTAATTCTTTTCAGTTTTATATGTAGACTATCAATTCAACTATAATAATTTAGAGTTTTGTTTCTTTCCAATTCTCATATGTTTTGTTTCTTTTTTCTTGCTGCGTTTTGCAGGCTAATCAAAGTGTTGGATCCTAGTGGTATTTTGAGCATCCTTATCCTCTTCCTCATTTTAAAGGGAAGACTGTTAATAATTTGCTATTGGTTGTAATTGGCTGCTTACAGAAACCCTTTGATTCCTAGTTTATCATGAGAAGTAATGGATTTTATATGGGGCTTTTCATGCATCTATTTACATGAGTATGTGTTTTTTCACTTTATTCTATTAATACGATGGATTATATTAATTTTTGATACTAAAGCAAACTTGCTCCAGCTTCCCAGAGAAATAAAGATGGTGGGTCAATGTCCTGGCCTGAACCCGTCTGAGCAGACCTGAGTGAGGCTCATGTCCCAGACCTCTTAGCTATTTCCCAGTGCTGTCCTGGTGCCCCAGTCCTTCTCAGTACAGGATTGAGTCCTGTTCTTTCCCTCAGTTCTCCTATGTGTGTCCTGAGTCACCCCAACTACAGAACTTCCAGGGAGAGTCCCTTCCTCCATGGCTGGCTCTAGAGATCTGAAAAGAAATACCCTTGTCCACTTCCCAAAACTGTTCTTCAAGAGTTTTAGCTGTTGGATTATAAATGAAGATAAATAAATTATGTTAGTTTATTTGTCTTATTACTACTGAAGAAATCCTGTCCACCGGCCTTCTTTAGGCTCCCTGCCCTGGGCTTATTTCAACCTACTCTTCATCTAGGGGCAAAGATTTTGGGGCAGGGTACTACTAATAATATACGGTGCTAAGTCTATTCTAGGACTCTGTCCTCAGAATGTCACATACGATTTTTCATTTAATTCTCACAAGAATTATTACAAGCCCAATTCGTAGATATGAAAACTGAAGTTGAGAGAGGTTAAGTAAGTTGTCCACAGTCAACACAGCTTATAAGGTGTACTTGTGGGGTTAGAGCCCGGATCTGTCTGACCCCCTAGTCTTCATTTTTATGCACTTGGCTATAACACCTGAATGCATGCATCTCCAGGTATGCCAAGCACAGCCCACCTGACACCTGAGTTGGAGGATCCTTTCTGCTGGGACCCATCACTATAGTGTAGAACCATTTCTGGAGGTCACACCTGGAGTGTTGCACTCTTTGAACCCAAGGCCTGATAGGCCAGATGCACCCCCCAATACTCCTGCGGGCTCATCTCTGCCTTACCCTCCCCACTCTGCATAGCCCCCTCGCCTCCTCTTTCCTACCTAGTGAGGATGTTCATGCCCTGCCATTGAACCCAAGGCCTGATAGGCCAGATGCACCCCCCAATACTCCTGCGGGCTCATCTCTGCCTTACCCTCTCCACTCTGCATAGCCCCCTCGCCTCCTCTTTCCTACCTAGTGAGGATGTTCATGCCCTGCCAAGGAATGACACACTTTTTGCTGAATAATTAAAAGCAGGAAATAGCCACTCTATAAAAGGAAGTGAAAGAGTGAGAAGTTCAAAGGCGGTCTGGACAAACAGAAGGTGCCAGCCAGGGCTCAGGCAGAGCTTAGAATCCAGCCGGGATCTGCGTTTGCTGCTGGTTGTAGGTTGGAAAGGCAAGGAGCCGAAGAGGCTGGACCATGTGGCTGCCCCCAGCTCTCTTCCTTCTCAGCCTCCCAGGTGAGTGTGCTGGGACCT